ACACCACCTGAGATCGGAAATTCTTTCAGCTATTCAAATCTTTTTTCATTTATTCTAGCTATTATGATCATGCAATAATTGCAGCTAGACGCATTTATGTGTCGCCGGAGCCAAAGAGTTAAATAAATTTGCCATATTACACACCACTGTAATGTCTTTTCAAGATCTCTATTTAATATATCTGTAGAGTGTTGAAGGGTTGAGCCATAGTGAAAAAGAGAGGCATCATCAGCATAAAGTTTATAGAAGGACTGAAGATTTTGGGGTAAGTCATCAATATAAACAAGAAAAAGCAGTGGACCCAGGATGAAGCCCTGAGGAACCCCGCAATTTATCTCTTCAGACCAAACTTTTCATAGTCAATTTTATAGTCAATTGCTTTACTAGATTCCAAATCCCTGGATCATTTGACATCTGACAGAAAATTAGAAAATTGTTTTTATACAATAATAATTGTTCACTACTTTATTCTTGTTGTTGTTGAATATTCAAAACATCTGTTAGTGCATCACTAAATGATTGTGAAGTTGTTAGTACATCGGAACATGAACGAAGTTTTACATTTAAAGCTGCTGATTCAGGTGTTGGTTGACTTGCCTTTGTTTTATCTTTCTGCATATTAATCATTTCAAAATTGTAGTCAACGAAATTTCTCATATTTTGCTTTATTTTATAGCCGTTTATACAATGTTGATTATTTTGATCATTTGAAAAGGGCTTTGACTTTAATATTTCTTCTATTGGATTCCATCGAATGCGAACAAAGCCAGGTTTTGATGTTTTTATTAATTCATTTTCTGAATCGATTCTACCAATTTCTATACACATATCTGTATCAGATCCTTTTTTCCCAGCAAAATTACTATCAGCACTATGACCACTTCCCGTACCTCCAATAACAAACACATTCGTGCTCTAGAAAACACTTTTGATGGAAAAAAAATAAGTCCTTTCTATTAAAAATCCCGAGTTTTGAAGCATTTTTCGGAACACCTATGATATGTTTTTATATATAGAGAAAATGTCAGGAAAAAACCTAGAACTTGTTCAAAAGCAATTTTTTTTGAATTTTTTTGTGTTCAGAAATCTAAAATAAGTCTAGAAACATTAGGCCGTCCTATTGAAAGCCCTGAGTGAAGAGTCATTTTCTCTAGATTCATGAATCTAACGAGGAAAGGACACCAAGTGATAAATCGCTTCTAGCTTAAAACTTAGCGAACAATAGGTAATCGAGTGTGCTGATTCCGAATACTAACATGAAATGGGCCGCTAGATCTCCAAAGACTGGATTTCCAGAAAACCAGTTTTCCAGAAACTCCAAGAACTCTCCAGAACTTTTCTTAATAAGTTAAAATTGT